TTTGATATTGTAGAACACTTATGCGGCAAACGCAAGCCCTACAAGATATCTTGAACAACCGCATAAAGTTCAGTCCCCGCGAAGTAAAAAAAATAAAATTCTACTTGCAAAAAGCAAAAAGATCCCCTTCCAAAAAGGATAGAATTTTCATCATGGTCAAGCAAAGAGTTCATAACTGACACTCTTATTAAAGTTGCTGTAATTTTCGATATTCAAAAATCGAAAAGCAAAAGAAAGAGAAAAATTACGAAAATGTTACCTTTTCGGTTTTCATGCTAAATTTGGTACAGGATTTCCCAAAAGTCCCAACTGTTTCTCATTTACAACACTCCTATGTGAATTCGAATATGAGGCGGGTCATTAAGGAACATAGAAAAGAGCTGAGGTAGAGTTTTGTATTTGAGTGGTCGCTTGAGATATTATTTTGAAGCTGGTTTCAACTTAGATTTACAGCATAAAGTGCACAAATCTCTTATCTTGTACGATTACAATAGGGATTTGTAACTATAGCGCCATTGTGAGATAGGGAATTTGGAGAAAAATCAACGAAATCTGTTGTTAGCAAAGTACTCTACTCCTAATTTTCACTGCAAAACTTTTTGACTATTTTATTGAGTATCAACGGTGTAGCCACTTGGCGATGAAAGGGAGTTTTTCAAATTAAACAATAAGGGCAACTTTCTGGAGCACCCTGTATTTCTCGTCCTTAAGCTAAGGCAAAGAATTTATGATTGTTCTCGCAACGTGAGAATATAAGTAAAATAGCTTAGCGCTTTATTAGAGCATGCCAAATTTCACTTCAGTTTCTGAAGATGGAAAAACAGCAGCTCAAATATATGTAGACAACTGCTGAGGTCTGTAAGGCGCTTGGAAAGTGATGACTAGAAATTCATCAAATTGAAAGGTTAACTGCATAAAGAATCCTGGCATCATGGCCCCCATGCCTTCGATAGTCTAGAGACAGGGCGCCAAAAGTGAAGGTTGTTTGAACATCTGACGGCATAAATAGTGAAGGTTGTTTGAAGAAGATCAGAGAAGAAAAAATGACGTAGAATAGATATAAAAAGCAAGAGAAACTGCTGAAAACCAAATAAAAATGCTGCAATAAGGTTTGAAATCTTTCGTTGGCGGCTTTTTAAAGTGCAAGTTTTCGCTTCAAGACCAGCAATTCGCAACACGGGGTTTTGATTTTTGATGCGTCCTTTAAATTTTTACCCCCGCGTCGTCCCTCTTGTACCCTGCGACGTTGTCTGGATTCTTCCGCTCATCATTCTGAGCAAGTATCGTCCAAGCTGGAGAAAATTCGTTGCGAAACCACTGAAAAAGAATAAGGTAAAGAAAAACGCATTTTTTTGTAATTTTCACAAAAAAACCGGCATAAGCAAAGAAATAAACTCGGCGACGTTGTCTACATTATAGACAGAAGCAAGACCTATCGACCACACAAAAAAACTGCGTGAAAAGAGTCAAACTAGGAGAAAAACGAGAGATTTTCGAAAACAAGGTTTTTGCCGGATTTCTCGTTTAAATCATAAAAAGGAGTCTTGCGACGTTGTCAGCGTGAAAATATAGATCAAGAGCTTCAAAATGATATATAGCTTGCTAAAACTGGGTTCGAAACAGCAAAGAAAAGGGTACCAGAGCCAAATGCCCCGCGCCCCGCGTTTGGGGTAGCGAGGTAGCGCGCAGCGCGCGGAGACGCAGACGAGCAGCGGAGACAGACCAGAGCCGGCGGGGCATTTGGCTCTGGTCATTGATCTCCGCGGAGTCATAACAAAACCCTATAATATTATATATCGTTGTGATCCTCATGAGACGGCCAGGAGCACTGACAACGTCTTGAAAATCAATCCGTAATGAGATAGACCAGCATTTATGTGGCGACTCTCTGCGAAAGAGTTCAGCGCAGTTTCTCGTTTTTATTGAATTCCAGCGGCTTTCATGAACCTCCAACTCCTCTTTTGAGCTCAATCGCAGTCTACAGAAAGGTTAATTGATAAGTTTTATCCTAATTTCTAACTGAATTTTTGAAGAAAAACCTTCTTTCCAGCAAAAAAAAGGCCATAAAAACGCGATCCTTCGGTTTTTTGAGCTTTTTCTTGGATGTCACTACTTTATTTGCCTCATTCACATTCATCCTTACATAGTTAGTCATTAGTTATGTCATAATATCCGGGCTTCGCCCCGGATGACTTCTGTATTCCTCTCCAGGTGAAGGTTGTGTCCTCTCATGACACTCAAAGTGAAGGTTACCAGAGTACGTGGCTCTATGTATCGAAGGTATGATGGCCCCATTTGAGCTCAAGGCTACAATTCTGAATGAGTTTATTGTAGCCGCTCGTTTAGATTTTTGCTTCAGAAAATCTCACAGCTCCCATCTTAGAGGCTCAGCGTTCCATATTCTATAAAGAGTAAATATTAGGTTGTGTAATAAGTTCTGTCCCATTTTTTCTTTCGATTTTTTCACAGTATTTTGCACGGTATTTTGCAAAATGTATATATGCATTTGAAAGCTCTAAGACTGCTCTACCAAAATTTTTACTTCGACTTCTTTCATCAATGGATCGTAAAAAGTTTCCTAGCTTAAAGTTTAGAAATCCACAGAGAAAAAAGATGCATTTTCGACAACTAATTTGAGACACCCCCGTTTAGATCAAAATGCTTACAAAACGCTTGAAAAATCTGCTGAGCGTAAGGAAAGAATGCTATAGCTTTCGCAGAGGTTCAAAAATGCAGAAAAGTTTCAATAAATTTGTATTAAAACTCGAAAAAGTCTTTTTTTTAAATCTTCTTACTGTTGACGCTGGGCATCCTGAAGGCAGTCTTGAGAAAGCACGGTAGATGCTTGATCCAGAAAAGGCTTTAGAGAACATCTTTGGCTATAAAATAATTGAATTTATGAGTTAGTTAGTCAAAAATTTAATTCTGGGGGCACACAGCTTAGGTTGGCAAGGCGACGAACATTGCCGCAGCAAAATCTTGCTCTGCCGACTTCTAAAAAAATGGCATTAAAAAGTTGGTAGAAGGAAAAGAACAAGCAGAAACAATGCCATTACAACCATAAGAGTTTAATAGGTTGTTCTATTTGTTGTCAAGCTTGTTGAATAAAAATTATCAACGGAAAACGGGGAAATTTGGAGAGAAAAAAGATGTCGAAAATGGATTTTTTGCCTCTTCGGATTTTTTCTTCTGATGCCAATAATCTTTTTAACATCCTGCTAAATTGGAGAATGAAGATACTAATTCGCGGAGCGGACTTAGAGCTTTCAAAAGCATACACACTTTATCCCATATAGGATTGATAGAAAATCGGAGGAAACCTAATATTTCACACGGAAGCACCACTTCGACTTTCTTCCCTTGTAAGAAATTATCAATTCATCATGCAAGAAGTGTACTACCAATTAAGAAACTAATATAATCATTTTTAGTGCACTAGCACTAAAGCGAAGTACTAAAATATTTATGCGAGTTGAAAAAACGGTTGTTTGAGCCATTCAATCTATGCAGGTATGCATGCAGCGCGAGGAAAGAAAAATTTTTTCTCATGCATAAATGAACAGGGCCAAGCAAGAGTTACGATTTCACAAGAATATCGTTCCTGCCAAAAAATAAAGAGCGCTTGGTATTTATCCTCACGCTAATATGCAACATTAACTGCTCCAAGATGTAGAATAGAACATAATATTTTCGATAGCTAGTCTTTAGAGAGCAGAACCCACTATCATGCTGTGAAAGCATCCAATTCCGAGTTTTCAGTGGTAACCTTAATCTTTTTTCTCTGAAAAAGATCCAACTTAGGGCTGTATGGGAAGCGCTACATATAACACCTGAATCGTTAATGTGTGTAAACATTGTGAGCTACTAACTTCCATCCTAACATATCCTTCAAGTTAACGAAGAAAGCTTGAATTGAGACTAAAATCTCAGTTTTGCATAAGACAATGACCAATTCAGCATTGCGAATTACGATAGAGACCACCAATGTGCTTGAAGTCGCTTTAATTTGAGAATATGCTGCAAAATCATGCCAAATGTGAAGTTTTCACGTGCTTGCTTTTATTTGATTAACGATCTATGCTCTATGGGAAAGTCAAAAAAATGTAATGGACATCATATATCATAAACATACTGCAACGGCTTCATCATAAAAGATTTTGAAGCATTTGATTATACCAATCATTTTTCCTGGTTATACAATACCGCTCACATTTTTTGAAAAATAGACGCGAATGTATGGACATGTACGGACATGTACGGACATGTCCATACATGTATGGACATGTTCGTACATGTCCATACATGTCCATACATTCGCGTCTATTTTTCAAAAAATGTGAGCGGTATTGTATTGCACCTAAGTATCATCGAATTCTTCAGATACTTGTTCAGTTCTCATTCGTTTTCTGACTAAGAAACGCGAGCACGCTTTGCGTACATTTCATTGATAGTTTATGAATGAGCTATAACGCGTTTCGGTCGTTTTATTATTGAAATTCTTGGAAGAACATGTTTGAGCTCGTTAATCCACGCTGGCTTGGACACTTCTTTCAAGAATTCTTAATAATAAGTAACCAAAACAGGTTAGAACACATTCATGAACTTGTTGATCAAACGTACGCAAATCGTGCTTGAGTCTCTTAGTCAGAGAATGAATTATATATAAGTTGATGCAAGTCTACAGAAGGGCAGTGCCATATCAGTAGGTGGGTTAATCTATTAATCCATATGTGGCAAAAGCATAATGTCAACTTTGGGAGTACTCACAGAATTCTCTAGATTTTTGCATTGTAAAAATAAACATCTTCACATGCATAATAGAGCTATTATGCCGGTGTTAACACATAACATCTAGACTCTTCACAATCCAGCTTATGAGCATTATGACGAACATAAAATCAGCATTCACTATATCTCTAGAAGCAAAAATTACGCTGTTTGGGAGCGATTTTATGGGAAACAAGATTTAAATGATGGAACAACTGACTGACAGATTAGAAGCTTCTTCTCCTCAATCATTCAAATCTTTCGGTTGAAGTAAGCCTACATTCATTGTTTCGAAAGCGTAATTGAGAAAACTACACTTTTTGGAAAGATGAAATTCTTCGTCCTTCTTATCCTTACCGCCCTTTATGTGGAAATTCACGCAAGGAGGTTATGTAGGATGATGCGCAAAAGGTAAGGTGTTTTGTACAGAATACATATATAACACTTTCTTCGTTTTAGGCCCCGGGCAGACTTCACGCGATTTGATCGTCGCGACTCAATCGCCAACATTTCCATTCATTTTCATTTCACATTCAAAAATTTCGGGCTGGAAAAGTATCACAGCCGAAATGCAAGTTGATCGGCATGGAATGATGTTGTAACAGTTGTCTCTTCGCGATTCAGTCGCGACGATCAAATCGCGTGAAGTCTGCCCGGGGCCTTAGATACCAATGTCAATCTGATGGAAGCTGTGTGATGGTTAGACTGTGCTGGCCTCAGTCAAACTCCTACATAACATACGACCTGTGCGTGTCTAAATGTGGAAAGAAAAGTGGTGCCTGCACCACTTGCGCACTTTGTGCGCAGACACCCGAAATAACAACTCTCTGTACTGATTATTGTGAGAAAAAAATTGAAACGATAGCTCCAAGGACAACACCCTGAACTGCTTGTAAGGAGAACGCATAGGAGAAGGACTGACGAAATAGAAGCAATAAATTTTTTCCCAATTGACAGGCGTATGCAGTGTTTCATAACATTTTTGCAGATTCTCTCTGGGTACGTAAATTTTTCTAGTTCCTTGCACCGGAGTCATGAGTCTCACGAAGAACATTTACGGCAAAAAAAGCAGACCTTGAAACATTTTGAAGTATGCCAACCATATCCATAGCGACCCATGCGTAACATTCAAGTTTTGAGACCACTATAGTGCTGCAGAAAGTTTCTATGAATTTGAGGAACATATCATACCATTCTAGTAGCGTTGTAAAATCTTTTCAACGTCACACCGCCCAGAGACGTACTTAAAGCCGCACTTGCAAAAATTAATCTTTTTTTGCATATAATAGGCGTCATCCGTCTAGTCACCTAGGTGCGATGTGTGTTAGTGCACACAGATTTGAAATCCCGGATGAGGCGCTGGGTTTCCACCGTGCCGTACCTACACGAAGGGCGCAGTACGGCTAAAATTCGACGCCGAACTGCTTTTTTCATACTTTTATGTTTTTTGTTCTTCTGAGCTTCACAAGCAATCTAAGTTTTGATTGTTTGTCACCCTTATACGTCGCGCATGCCGTTTATCAATTTTGCTTTCAGTTAAGAGGGCAGATGGTCTCCTGCAGAATTTGGAAGTAAGTCTGCTCTCTTAGGCAGTACCAAATTCAAATTCCTTTTCACTGATATCAAATATTCTGGTTTTTTATGCCTGTGCAATCTTGTGTACCTAAAATCCCGCCAATAAGTCCGGCCTTATCTGCATTTTTTGACACGAAAAACTGATAAAAAAATCGCCCTATGCGCTGCCAGAAGTCTAGCAGATGAATCCTCCCGTCAGACCGCAGCAGATCTGCTAGACTTCTGGCAGCGCAGAGGGCGATTTTTTTATCAGTTTTTCGTGTCAGAAAATGTAGATAAGGCCGGACTTATTGGCGGGATTTTAGGGTACTTAAGAACAGCTCCTCATTAAAAACTTCGCAAAAAAACAGGATTTTCAGTAGCAATGAGAAGGAAGTTGAAACTCGTACTGCCTAGAAGATACTCTAGAAGGCAAATTTACTTCAAAATCCTGCAATATTGCCCATCTGCCTCTTTTACCTGTAAGCAAAAGTAATGAATTTTGAAGTATTCGATTTGAAACAGCATGCACGACGTAAAGAGGTGGAAAATTATTGAGAATCAGACCGTGCATGAAGCTGAAAACAAAAAAAAGCATCCAAATAGCTGAAGCAGGCAGTTTGGCGAAATAGTCGTACTGTGCACTTATTGCAAGTAGGTACGGCGGGCCACAGCACCTCATCCGGGTTTCAAATTTGTGTGCAGTAACACACGTCGCACCGAGGTGACTAGATGGATGACGTCTACTATATGTTTGCTTTCCATTGTCGCTTTACATAGGACTATGTCTCCTGTGGCAACAACCAACAAGCTTCTCAAAATAACAACAGTTTGAATACCACCGTCCATAATTGCAATAAATATCAAGGGAAAATATTCACTTTTTTGTGTACATTGGAAATTGCTAATGACAGGTCGCCCAGATATGCCACATCACGAAAGAGCGAAAGGAAAGGAAACCAACTTCTAGCATTATCAAGACTAATATGCTCATGCGCAATCCTTCGCGCCCCTTTATTAAGCCTTGAACATGAAGTGATTCAAATCAATGTTGAAGTGTAAAAAAACCTTATAGAATTAACAACTAAACGAGTAAAAAGGTTTCAAAATTCCTCGATACAAATTAGCTTCGTAAGCAATGTTCCCGTAACCGAGTTGGCCGCCTCCTCTTCCATAGAATTAGGCGTTATAACTCAGGCAAATGCCGGGAAGTTTCGGCGAACATGCGAAAGTTGAAGTTCCGGAAGCAAATTAAAAAAGTTCCCGTGATTTATGACGTCAAGGGAGCCGCGGATACAAAGTTCCGGAGGAAGCGCTTGGGAACTTTGGCAAAGGTAAAAAAGTTCCTGTAAACTACACTAAATGGAAAGTCCCGCGAACAATGTCGTGCTAGCCGGCCGATCGGCGCGGGACCACGTTTCAAGGGCGAGCGCTGGGGAAGCGGATGTCGAAATACACAACGCCGCATTTTATGATTTCGTTTGCAGGCAAGTTCATGTCTCTTTAATCAGGTGTTTGTAATGAAGTTTCCTTTTTCAGCGAACAGCAATTCGAGAAAAGCAGCGCACGACTGCTTACACGTGCAAATGCGTTTTGTATGGGGAGAAGCTGTTTGCATAAAACTCAAAGACGTTTTTTTAGCTGTTTAATTACCATCTTCTTTTTTTCCTGTCCCCCTTCTTCTTATTTCTAATGTATTTCTTTACTCGTCCGTACTTTTATTTATTTCTGTGTACTTGTCTTCACTCTCAATCTGACAAGCGTCCCTAATCTTGGCATTAGAAATGGTAAATAATGGTAAATAACTCCCATGGCAAAGATCGTGTACGGGTAGCAATATTTGAAAATTTACTCAGTTTTAACATAAATTTTTTTTTCAATCGTCTGCCGGAATTGTCGGATTTATGTTACCTGACGTTGACTCGAAGGAAGTAGATGCAATCATAGCAAGAATGTACACCTAATAAAATTAAAAAAAAACTTCAGTGCGGTTCATAAACTTGCGAAAATGAAACATAAAAAAAAACTCTAAGCTCACAACGAACGAGAAAAACACTCCTGAGCTCACAATGAGACGAGGAAAACATGAGATGGTACAAAAAAGGCTGTACCAGATACAAATCATTTTCAACGGAAGGCATGTAAGTAGGCTGAGGGGGAAAGAAAACGAGGCAGTGGAAGTAAAGCAAAGTAAATGCGATGAATTTCGGGAAAAAAAAGCTTGGCAAATAAAACTCAGGAAGCTCATTTTTTTTCTCGCTGGATTGTTGACCTCCTGAACGTAAAAAACATATATAGGTTACTAAGACAGAAGAAAGACTTACTCCCGAAAGTGATTTCAAATCAGCTATCCATGAATCTTGTCAAGGCATTTGGACTACCTTCTCAAACTTTTTCGGAGTGCTGTCCATTTGATTTGTGGCTTCTGCATTTCTTCAATAATTGAACGACTCGGAGGTAAGTTGATCGGGTGAGATAGATTGGACGACTGAAAATGTGGTCATTTATGATAAAATTGACATCATAATCAAGGGACCTGTAATTGATTTTCTTGATCCTCTTCCACTTGATCCGCTTGATCTAATTCGTGCAAAATGCGCGTCACTACTTTGTCATGTCAAGGTCATTTTGTCATTTGGCGTCGCGCACAGCGAGTTGCATAACTATACAACAAAATTTCTTTTCACTGACGCGGCATCAAATGAAAACTGCTGTGTGCGCGCGAATCAAGCGGATCAAGCCTATCAAGTGGATTAAAAGGATCAAGAGTATCAATGGCGGCTGCCTAATAAAATACGCAAATTCAACGGAGAAGTGGAAAACATGAATCAAAGAAAATGAAAGAAACTTAGAAAATTAAAAAGACGGAAAACAATCATGTAGGACTTGCCTGACTTTTCCATTGCTCCAATCACCGGATCCGGGTCAAAACTTTTAGCACTTAGCTCGTGTGCAAGTTCAGCTAAATGGTTCTCCACTGTCACTACTTTGCCATTTGCTGCCTCGATGAAGCGAAGCTGAAGTAGAAAACTATGCTTCTAAACAAATCAGCATATACGTCAAAGTCCGTTTAACAGAAAGCAAATCTTATTCAATGTGATTCAAACAATCTTGAAAACAAAAGGCGAAGTTAAGGAAAAATAATCTCGAGGAAACCTGAGTGAAATCAAGCACGATCGCATCACTGGAAACGATCGTGAACAAGGTAATGAGAATAAAAAAACCTTCGAAAATGCGTATTAGTTGGTATGACTACAGCATGCGTACTTATCCCAGACTTACGGTATATGCCCAACTTCCCTCGGCCGCGAGTTAATGTGCTCGAGTCGAAATTCGCGAAAGAGCGTCAATCTTGTTTGGAGCACGTTATTTCGGGCTTATTTTCCGTCAGCTATTCGATTAAGATAAAAATAACAATTTTTTTGTTCATTTTTACTGCTCTCATCGCTAATTAGTAGTAGAAAAGCAGTGTTCTTATGATGATTCCGAGTGTAAAATGCATTGTGGGAGATCATTGTTACTTTACCAGAATAACTTTGGAATTCGAAACACTCTTTTAATAGAAAGTCATACCGAAACAAAGAGAGAGAGAGTAATTGATCATGAATTTGCTAGAGCTATGTTTCTTAGGCAACACAGGGTGGGAAGTGAGTGACTAACCGATTTTCTACCTCTTCCGTTTAAATGTAACTCGTCCCCCTGATACTGGAATAAACACAGCATGGCGATAACAATAACTCCCTATATAAAGCAATGCTTTCGTGGTGACTCCCATTCTGCGACAGACGGGGAGAAGCGCTCAAGGATGATAGAGTCATACTACGCGGATGGAGGAAGAAGCTGGAGATGACGTAGAAGATGGAGGACGAAAAGGTGAAGAAAAAAAAGAAGAACGAAGGAAGAAACCGATTGTAAGAATAGATATCGCGAATTCCGACAAAGTTGCGTATGAGCCGGGTGAGATTAGCGGATGAGCACAGCTAGGAACGCCGTATACGCCCGCTTGGAGCCTTTGGGTGACTCGGCCCACGCCTGTGAGTAGTTTTTCTTAACTTTCCCCTATCTCTCTGGAGTGCGGAAAATGATCGAGGAAAATCTGATTCAATCGAAAAATTCAAATATCGCTACTCCTATTAAGATATTATGGCATGGGGGTTAAGGCGAGAATGACAAACTCACGTGAAGAGGGAGAAGCGAACGAAACTGAGGCGAGTTTCGAGAAAATCAGATTGATTTTCTTATTTGGTAGGCGTCAGAGCTGAGTCGTGCAGTGTGTAAAGATACATGGCGCCGCCTTTCACGCGTAGTAAGTTGTTAAGTTGTATGTGGGGTATGATACAACTCTTCCACCTCAAATAACATTTGGAGAAACAAATAAGGCCCGAAAACAATAAAAAGTGAAGTGATTACCTACTTTATGCAGACAGTGCAGAGCGAAAACGGTCTCAGATTATGAAAATCGCTGATTTTGCCAAATCTTCGTCGAGGAGGTTATTTTGGACGCTGGTTACGAATGGCACTTTTATTTGCCGCAATAGTGGCAGTATTACGGTAGGATGACGGGAGGGGGTCAGAAGCACGAGCTTGCCCTGTTACAAAGATTCTGTGGAGTGTGTGGCATGTTGAACATGAATATCATATTGATTTCTCAAGGATTGCTGATTTCTTAGATTATGGTGAGCATACGGTAGACGGCTCAAGAAATTTGCTCGGAATTTTGCCTAAAGGGGTTGTTGGGCAGCAGCTGATCATATCATTTTTTTCGCCTAACCGTCGACATCAGTAGTTGCATTATGTTTGAAGTTAGGGATCAAAATCTAGGATTTTGCTCAAACTGGGCGGGGGGCGCCCATTACTTGTGAGTGGATTTCTGCCGCGATGCGGCGGATCAAGAGGCCGCACGGCGGCAATTTGCCAGCCCCAGCGGGGACAACACGTCCATTTCCTGCTCCAATGCTAAGCCGCGTACTTAAGCCCAAGCGTCACTTGTCCCACTGTACGAGTTGTCCGCGTGCTCATTGAGGCCGCCTTGCCGCGCGCGGCGAAGCGATAATTGGCACTCACAAGTAATGGGATACACCCAAACTGGGCCCGTTACTTAAGGTGTTGTTACGAATACCATACTATACTCTGTGTTGTTACGAATACCATACTATACTCTATCTTGAGATAGTAGGGTTAGAGATTCGAAAAGAGTAGGAATGACTGCGCATAGATGTCAGTCCTATGTTGTGGTATCTCACAGACCAAGTTCATGAAAAATAAGTGATTCAAAAATTCTGAGGCTCATGGCTGAAACAGCGCTGATCCCCTCTTCTCTCCTTTCCTCAGTCGTGTAGAAATTCAAAAAAATACAAGTATCATATGAAGTACATGTAGAGTCATCATGGCTGAGTTCACCAAAGGCGATGCTGAACCACCATCTTGCAGTGATGAACGTCGAGGAACATCCCGCGAAATAGCCTTGTGCCTCCCCCCCCCCCACCTTACATTCGCGAAAAGCAGAGCCGGGGGAGCAGTGCCGACTATTTGCCCCTTTCTTCGTTACCGACCAGAGGAAAAGGGATTTTCGTTTATAGACTAAAGAGCATCAGATGGAGGTAGAGTTTACAAGTAAAAGTCCACTACCCTTCCGTTTAGAGCTCCGCTTGCACCGCATAAAAGAAGTAGAGGCGAATACTCTCTCAAGACCGCTTGCTTGTGCATACGACCGCGTTTCAAGCACGCTTAATTGTTTTTCTTCCAAAGCAGAAATGAGAGTAATGTCACGCCCTCTCAAATGTAATAAGTAAGATGCAGGTAGTCTTCTGTAATGAAGATGGAGAGATCCTAAATGAAATGACCATAAGTGGTCTCCAGAGCCCCCCAACTGCAATAGCAATTATGCGTCCCGGTTGTGAGTTTTATTAGCTATAAGATGACTTCTCCCTCTTTTGAAAAGGTTGTTGTTAAGATGAATGGCTATTCTGGGCGCCGAAAAAAAGTGTGTTTATGAACACTAATTAAAACGCAGATGTGCTGTCGCAGATGGAATAATGGGACATCATAGAGGTAAGTTTCTGTATGTACATTTGAATACAGGCTCAATCTCACTTTTTACTCATTTGTTTCTTATTTGTTCACCGTCAGTAGCTTTGGAGGAAACTTTTTTGTGAACCTATACGATGGAGAGGTGAGAGTTGTATCAAGTTTCTTCTCAGATCTGCTTTCTCGATCTTTGAAGATAAGCGGAATGAAACTCAGTGGATAAGCAATCTGAACTGAATGCAGCTCTAATGGGTACAAGGAACTGCACATAATGTTCAAAATTCGTCCTTTGTCTCGAAAATCCACCATCGATGACTGGAGCTGAAGTAGACATGGTAAATCTGTTGTCTTTTGCTCAGTCCTTACATCTCCGCTCAATTCGGTATCATTTTTTAGTTCGCAAACGGAGGCGATGAGCACGCACGCTTAGAATGAAAATTTAGGCAGTCAGCCGTGACAAAAATTTTTGTTTGTTCTATCCACACACACTCATCACGTGCGTATGTACTCAGTTGTTCTGAAGTTTTCGTTTTGAGTGCGAAATAAACATTTTATTTTTAATATTAGGCTGAAAACTGTTTTGCAACTGCTTTCATAACTTTGATCGCTTTCAACATGGTGAACTCAGAATTTAGCTGTATGTAGATCTCGATGTGTACTACAAGCATGCACAAATTTTTGAATATGAAATGAAAAAATTACAAGCATTTTTTCAAAATAGTAAATTTCGAGAATTTATGAGGTCACAAGCAAAATTAAAGCTGTTCGCGACCCAGATTACGCATAATGATCCGAAACTGCATGCGAGTTACTGCTTGAGGTTGACTCATTTGGCTTAGTAGGAAAGGAAGGAATCGAAAGACAAGTTGAGTTCTAGCACTCTTACGAAGTCGAAGTACGCAACGCTGGTGGAGACAACCATCAATGACTGAGGAGTGGAAACGTCAAAACCCGCGGAGATCTCACATAGTGAGATTATTCGATCTGCTAATCACGAATATCATTTTCGTCTATTAAGACAAATTTTTTTCTATTGTTTAAGGTGGGACCCCATACCGTAACACTACTATCCTCACAAAAAGCCCTTACCATGCAAACTCAGCATGTTATTCGTGATCAGCGTGTCGGATAACTTCCTTACACCAAGTTTCAGCCAAATCCGTAATGATTTTTTCCTCTTTCTACCGTATACCTACCGTGATCCTCACTGCGACGCTTGAATTTAATGGAAAAGCAGCTGTGCTTGTAGCTTGCATTATAAGCAACATGCTGGCACAGTTTGAGTGCTTTATATCAAACTAGCTGGCTTACCCGGCTCCGCCGTATCCGGACCAAACTTGGCACACATACACTTCGGGCCCTGGCGGGTGTCACAGGCTACTTTTCGTTATCGATCGATGTCGATTTTAC